GAAAGATTCACACCAGCGGTGGAACGCAAGCCCTTCCTCCTTCACAAGGCCAGACAGATAACGCCGTCTGGCAGAACTGGCTCTCACGGTCTCCCTAGCAATGTTTACTGCAAGCGCCAGAGCAGCAAGCAAGCCAGGATCAGAGAAGGGAACAAGCAAAACATGGCAGCTAGCTGACAACACCCAACAATGTCCTTCTGCCTTGAGGCAGGGCCAAAGATGGGTTTTAAGTGAGAAGCCCTCCCCTTCCAGGAATCACACAAGATTCATGACCCTGCCTGTCCAAAGGGAGTAGATTCTTCCAGAAGTAGAGACTGCCCCACCCTGGACCACGGGAGAATGGACATTTTAACTGCCAAAACTTGAACCCCACCACACACCCCAAGGCCTTGTGTACATGTTATCCTTTTATAACATTTATGGGGGGAAAGTGGTCCAACATGTTTTGATGAGGTTTTTGGTTTTTGTTTGGGTTTTTTTGCACAATACTTCCTCTGCTCCCTTTTAAGACTGGGCTTCTCTCACGGCCAACATTTCATTCTCCCTCTCTTCCCTCTCTCTACTTGCTGGGGGGGGGGGGGGAGACATCCAGCTTAAAAAACAGTTCTATGAAACTCTAAAGCTTGAATAATACTTTTCAGTGAAAAAGGTTCAGAGCACCCTTGAACATTTTTAAATGTATATTTGGCCAAATGAAAGTGTCACTTGACTATTGTTCTGTAGCAATTTATTCCTCAAAAGCCTCAGTTAATTCTTACTTGTTTAAAATATTTATAGACTGCCTTATCCGGTGAACTCAACTCTTGCTACAGCAACCAAAGCATACAACATAATAGAAACGTTGGGTATTTAAGTTGTTTATGTTTGAATACAGATGCCCTCACCACAACTGGAAGAACATTTAAAACACCTCAAAAGTGCAGGCAGGGCTGATCTCATGGAATCAGAACCAATTCCATGGAACAGACCAACACAACTGGACAATTCCAATTTGGTTGTGTATTTTGAATGTTCTTCAGGCTGCAAGAGAGCTGATGATAAAAAGTGGCCCCTGTGCAGACAGGTGAATGTCTAAAGAGCACCACAGAAAAGTGAACTGCAACAGAAACCGTTGCTCGTGGGTGGGTGCAGAGATCAGTGGTGAATCATCTGTTTTGCACAAAGAAGGTCTCAAATTCAATCCCTGCCATTTCCAGTTAAAAGGATCAGGTGCTGGGAAAAGCCTCTACCCAAGACCTCGGAGAGCCACTTCCATTCAGAGTGGCCTTGATAGATCAATGGCCTTGATACAGCAAAGACAACTTCATGTGTTCCTGGCATGCATCTTCACCCCACTAACGTTCCTGTTCAGAAGTTTTGCAGGTTTTTGTGAAGTTTCCAGAACCTGCAAAACTTGCGTAGCCAAAGAAAGGAGCTGGTCCCCTCTATCATATCACCCAAGGAACAAAGGTCAGGTCCTCAGCCCCAGTTAGCTGGAAGTGGAATGAGAAACCCTCCATTTCCTTTGGCATGCACACACACATACCCATTACTTTTGGTCCACGGTCACATTTTTCATCAAACAGTTTTGTAAGATTTTTAAGCACTAGGGACAAGCTGCACGGACAGTCGACAGCCCATGGGAGGATGAAAAGATCTGCCACCCCATCTTTCCTTCCTGGAACATCTTTCTCCTGCAATTTGACTTGCTGAAATCAGCATGTGAAAAGGTCTCATAGCATTCAGTCTCAAGCTCATGTAATCTGTTTCTCTCTGAGTTTTTATTTAGCTTATTGAAACATTCCAGTTAACAACTGCTATCTTATACACAACTTAGTAATGGGCTACCTGCACTTAAGCAGGCAAATGCATTAACGCCGTATCAGGCATTTAAACACCATGGGCTTTGGCGTAACCTTATCTGAAGGTCTGAGCTTAGCTGCCTTCTATGGTGAATGGTCGCTGGCTTTCATCTTGGGTAAAGGAGAAGCTGTGTAGCGAGTATCAATGATGCATACTCAGAGAACCTCACTAAGGTGTCAATGGCACACTTATCTAGGCAACAACTTCCGTCTTGTAGATTCCATACATACCGAGGAAGGGGCTGGAAGTGATCATAAGGCATGATTTCTTTAAATCCATCGCTGTGAATAAAACAAGCATTTACAAAATTAGTGGCAAAATAGCAAGTATTCTTTTGCCTACATGTTGTGTGCATTTGAATTTAAATACATACACGTGCATGCATGGAAGACACACATGGAACACAAGAGCCAGGGCGTGGTTACAGTGTTTAACTAGGACTGGGGCATTCAAAAGTTCCACTCAGCCAATGAAGCTCACTGGATAATGAGGGTCCAGCCAGCCACTCTCAACCCAGCCTACACAGGGTTGCCAACCTCCAGACGGGAAAATTCTTGGAGTTCTCCTGAAACTACAACTGATGTCAGGGCTACAGAGATCAGTTCTCTGGAGAAAATGGCAATTTCAGAGGGTGGACTCTGTGGCACCACATCCCTGCCAGGCTCCCTGCCCTCCACAAACTCTGCACACACACCCCTGACACCCCTCTGAATATTCAGGAATTTCCCAAGCTGGAATTGGCAACCCTACTGACAAGATCAAACAGAGGAAGGGGTAACTGTGCCTGGAGGAAGGGGGGGGGTGAAACCTTCTGGGAGGTGGCTAAGGCCAGGATCGTCAGGGCATCTTCTAGGAGTATTTGGTGTCCCCCTCCCCACCTCCACAGTTTTACTGAATTGCTAAAAATTATAGTTCTCAGATTTCAGAGTCAGAGAAAGGTCATGAGGAGCGCTGGGGGTTTGCCCCAATGACAGCAAAGAACTTTTATGACTATTAACAACTGCACCGATTTCTAAAAGAAAATAGTTCAGGAGACCAAATCATGCCATTTATCCTGGAAGTGCTGCTTCTTTTGTCTCTTGATCTCCAACTGAAGCATCGGCTGGGAAGAGTGCCAGCAGGATAGCCAGTGAGGGTGGTGGGAAATAACCTATTGGTTGGGGGGGGCGGCCTTGAAAGGCTGGGAAAATGCTTCACCCCACTGCTAGGGACTTATTTTATTCATTCTTTTATTTAAAACATTTATTACCCAACCTTTTTATCTTATAGGAACTCAAGATAGCTTACAGTGTAAATAATAATAAAATACAATAAAATACTTTGGAACTTGATTTCAGAATCCCATGGCCAGAGTCTGGGATGTTCTCTAGGAAGCTACCAAAGACTGATTGTTATCAAAGCTTCAGAACCTCTGCATTGGCTGGGCCTAGTGTAAAATTTAGGAGCCTGACTATATCTCCTTGCCTGGCTAACAGGACACCATGGCTTTTGCCTGCTACACTTCAAAATCGAGTTGATGTTGGCTCGGCGGGTAGAGCACCTGTGCTGTATGCAAAAAGTCCCAGGTGTTTAAGGGATTAAGGGATATGGGATATTGGAGAACACCTCCTTATGCCCTAGACCTTGGAGAGCCTCTGCCAACCAGAGCAAATAATACTGAGCCTGATAGACCAACAGTCTGATGCCATATAAGGCAGCTTCATGTATTCATATGGCTACAGAACACAGACTCCAGGTATACCTGCCCTGCAGCCCTGGACTGGCCATGATACCTAATAAAGAGGAGCAATAAGAAAGAGAACAGTCACCCCTTGGCATCTCAGCGCCTTCATTTTTATAGTACTGACATTAATGGCAAGTACTGCTATTATGTGTCCCCCTCACCCTCTTTTATGATGCTCCCATCCTACTTCTGAAAGACTTGGGAACTTTTTACAATCTGCATTCAAGTTTTGCCAGAGTGGGTCTGCAGAACAGGCCCCAGTAAGTTCAGAGCATCTTGGGGTCGCTTTCAACGATTACATTCAATCAGGATTAGAGGAAACAGGACAGTTTAGTTATAGGAAATGAAATCCACCGAGAGCATTTCCTTTTCTTCTTGGATAGGTCTTCGGCTTTGCCAGCTGGCATTTTAACGCAAGGTTCTGGGCTAGATACTGCCGTGTTATTTTAAGATACTTAGAGCAGAGCCAGGAAACAGCACCAGACGGTCCAACGGCCGGCTCGCCTTGAACAGCCTTGTGCAACTCAATACAGCCCAATATACACCGTGGCCTTTAGGAACTTGGCTATGGCATCATGTGGTCTTTGCACCACAAGCATCTTTACTTGGCACTGCATTTGTTTTATTGGAGGCTGTAATGCTCAACGGAACAAAAAATGGCTTCATTTCTGCATGGAAAGGAGGAAATATGATGCTATGGGCTTCAGGTGGGTCAGTGATGCCCAAATTAGATACCAGGCATCATCAGGAGAGGGCTGAAGCATGCCTTGAAAAACGCTGCCCCTGTGCTTATGCTCATAATTTTATATCATAATGCCTAATGTTTTATGCTCTGTCAAACGCTGAGATTTTCTGCTTCTGTGTTTTTCTGCTACTGGATTGTTATGTGCTTTATGCTTCTGGGTCTGAACATGCTTTTATGCTTCGGTGTTTCATTGGCTGGTTTGTTAATTTAAATAATTTTATTTTTATTATATTTGTCTTGATTTATTTTGTTTTTTGGTTTGGGGAGGGTTGTGTGTGCGTGTGTATGTTCATGTGCTTGTGAGCCTAGAAGTCATGGTGACTTCTGGTGACCTTTAGTGGGGCTAGGACATTTCAGAGAAGTGGCTTTGATATTATCTGCATCTGTGTCACAACCCTGGTATTCCTTGGAGTCTGCCCTTCCAAGTACTTGCCAGGGTTGCCCTGCTTAGTTTCTGAGATCTGACGAGATTGGGCTTGCCTGGGCTATCCAGGTCAGGGCATCTTGCTTTATTTTGTGAACTGCCTCTGAAGAGATGGCATATAAATGGAATACAAATGGAAGCATACTTTATTTGGTGCCCCCTGGAATCAGGAAGCTGCAGGTAGCTATGGTCCCCTCTTCTCTCTAACCATTTCTGCAGTAGTGAAATTCCCTGCATTGACATTTTTAAAACTGCGCATTATGTGAAATTTTCCACAGTAGATTTTTACTCACCAGGCACAAACCCAAAGTTTTCTCCTTCTTACCCCACATTTTCGGAACTCGCTAATACTGGGGATTCCGAAAATGCGGGGTAAGAAGGAGAAAACTTTGGATTTGTGCCTGGTGAGTAAAAATCTACTGCGGAAAATTTCACATAATGCACAGTTTTAAAAATGTCAATGTGGGGAATTTCACTACTATGGAAATGGTCTCTGCCAATGTTTTGGCAGCTAACATCGCCCTCAGGCAGGAAGGACCTGGATTCTTTGTCACAACCCACATTGCAATTGACAGGTCTGGAGGACTCACAGGTTCCTCATCAGTGCCCCAAAAGCACAACTTTGACTGACTAAGCATAATGGGAGAGCAGCATGCTATGACACGAGAAAGTGGGTTGTGTCCCCGTTTGGAAGGTAAATGCCCCACCATTGTCCCAAGAGCTGAATGAAAAAAATGTTATGTATCTTTTTGACCACAAGAGAAGAATGTGTCTCTGGTTTTAATTCAGAGGAGGAAATAATCGTGTTTCAGATATGAAGAGTTTGGGAGAGAGTAAACAGATTGAGAGACAAAGCCAAAACATGTTCAAGCATATATACCAAATGGGATTTGAAGCTCAAGTTTCTAAAAGTTAACACCATAGCCCTGATCCAGCAAGAAGGAGCCCTGCATGTAAAAAAAATTACAGGGAAATGTTCCTATATCTAATAGCCAAAGGCTGGTCCTCTGTGCAAACAGGCACATCTGTCTAATGGAGCCAACCACAGCCATAGCGTAGGTTAGGCACACATGGAGGAATCCCCAGGTTCACATAAAGATCTCACATTTTTAAAAAAACTAGTCTGGCTAGAATAGGAGGCTAAAAGAAGAAAGCAAAGGACAGGGAGCCAGAGTGAGTGGAAGCAAGGATCAGTAACAGCAGCGGAACAGTGGCCAGGCAAGGACATGGGATTTCCCCCTCCCCCAGGAGTCCTTGTATGTATGTATGTGTGTGTGTGTGTGTGTGTGTAAATATGTATGTATATATATGTGTGTGTGTGTGTATATATATATATGTGTGTGTGTGTGTGTGTGTGTGTATCTAAATGTCACAAACGTGACTACAACACAAGAAAAGTAAATTAAATGACAAGATGATGTACATAAAGATTGCCAGAATCTGACTCCTGCCAGATCCAGTTTCTAACTTGCAGACACTGGAGCCCAAAAAAAGCCACACAACTGCTGGATGCATTTCGACCTGCTGATCTTTTTCAATGGTATTGAGTTACAGGTGCAAGCAGAGATAAATCCAGGTAGAGCAAATCATCACCCTCTTGGGCTCATGGAGCAGATAGTAATTCGGGGAAGATCTATTCAGAGGAATGCCATTCGGGCCAGTTGGATTATTTTTGGAAAAAAGATCTCGTACACCAAATATTCTTTGTACATGCAGCTAAAGATGCATCACAATCCTGCTCATCAGGAATCAAATAACTTCATCCTTCTATTAGTGTGAACAGGAGAGACAAGTCTCCTCTGACTACTTTATTTATTATTTATTATTATTTACTTCACTCATGCCCTGCCTTTCCCCCCACACAAGAGGGATCCAAAGCAGCTTATGTTATGCCTCCCCCATCTTCTCCTTGCAAGAATTCTTTTTTTTTTTTAATCCCCGTAGGGATATTTTTTATTTTGCATGTACTACAAACTATAAAGAAATATAGGGGAGGGACTACAACTAGGGATAAAGAAAAGCAACCCACACTAGACTAAGATCCAAAGAGAAGGAGATCTTTTCACTGTTAGTAAATATGTTAGTACCATTAGTTTTATTATCACAATATACTTGTTGAGTTCTTGCTTATAACAATTCGCTTCTTGTATGTTATGTTGTTAGTTGTTATGAGAGAAGTCTCTGATCCTTGCAAGAATTCTGTGAGGGAGGTTAGGCTGAGGGCCAGGCTCACCCAGGAACGTTCCGTGGCAGAGTGGAGAGTTGAAACTGGGTCTTCCAGATCCAACAACATTGCCAGCATCAAATCACCCCAAAACCGATTCCCACGAACACACACACAGACAGGCCTCAACTAGATGAGCTGAACTGGCCAACTACAACTAGGCACATATTTCCTCAGCCCTCCTCCTACACATGAATGCAACAAGTAGTGTGAAGCAGGCTCTTTTTTTCTTCAGCAGAAAGCCTTCCCACCCCTCCCACCTCACACACACTGGTGGGATCTGTATATATTGGTCCCTGTGGTTGAACAGATTGTCTTTCCCATACTCTAAATGCACACTAGACAGATGTGGGGGGTAAGCACGGATGCTGCAAAAAGGATATCCAGGTGGTACTTTGGTATGCTAGAGCAACCTCAAATAGCAGCAGATGTTGCCACCCAGATAATGGGAGTGAGGAATAAGAGTGGAAGATACTAAAGAGTGGGGGGAGAGCAAGGAGAGCCAGGAAGAGAAGGAGGAGGTAGCAGGAGGAAATAAGTGGAGCAGGGTGAGAGGGAACAAAGTGGAATCATGGGGGATGCAGACAGTGTGAGTGGGGGGAGACGGGATTTTCCCCACACACACACACCTCATGACTCCTCAAGGGTGCCCACTTGTTCACAGCTATAGGGAAAAGTAAAGTTCTGCATGCACTAAAACCATTTCCAGCTCTGGATGGCCCAGCCCCTCTTGATAGGGATTCCATGGAGATATGCAGCATCTCTCCTCTTTTAGGTCCCCACAGAAACATACGCAGCACCCATCATGATACAGGTCCTCTGGCTAGTTATGTCAAAGAGAATCCTTTAGTGACTCCTGAGCAGCCCTAAACAAATGCTGACCACCAGTTTATACACTTGTAATGCACACCTGGACGGGCAGGGATCCATGTTACATTCCTTCAGCTTGGGCTTCGGTTTCTTATTTTCAGGGTAGTAATGGCAGTACTGATCTGGCACGACACGCTTTGAACGGATATCCATGCACTCAGCAGAGTTCAGCTGATAGCCTGGGGGGTGGGGTGAGAGGCACAAATTATAACAAACAAGTAGAGATCCGCACAAATGCATTAGGGTTTTTGTGTGTTCATCATCCTCTTCCACCTTGTCTTGCATCCCCCATATTAAGAACATAAGAACATAAGAGATGCCAATGTTGGATCAGGCCAAAGGCCCATCCAGTCCAACACTCTGTGTCACACAGTGGCCAGAAATACCAGTGCCATCAGGAGGTCCACCAGTGGGGCCAGGACATTAGAAGCCCTCCCACTGTTGACCCCCCCCAAGCACCAAGAAGACAGAGCATCACTTGCCCCAGAGCCCCTAGCTATACCTTGTGGCTAATAGCCACTGATGGACCTCTGCTCCATATGCTTATCTAATTCCCTTTTGAAGCCATCCATGCTTGTAGCACCCACCACTTCCTGTGGCAGTGAATTCCAAGTGTTAATCACTCTTTGGGTGAAGAAGGACGTCCTCTTTTTCCAAAGCTATAATATCCTTTTTAAGGTGTGGTGCCCAGAACTGCACACAGTATTCCAAATGAGGTCTCACCATTGATTTATATAGGGGCATTATTATATTGGCTGATCTGTTTTCAATACCCTTCCTAATAATCCCCAGCATAGCATTGGCCTTCTTTATTGCAGTCACACACTGTCTCGACATTTTCAGTGAGTTATCCACTACAACTCCAAGATCTCTCTCTTGCTCAGTCTCTGCCAGTTCAGACCCCATCAATGTGTATTTATATTTAGGATTTTTGGCTCCAATGTGCATCACCTTGCACTTGGCCACATTGAACCCCATTTGCCATGTTGACGCCCACTCGCCCATCCTTGACAGATCCCCTTGGAGTGCCTCACAATCCTCACTGGTTTTCACCACCCTGAACAACTTTGTATCATCCGCAAATTTAGCCACTTCACTGCTTACTCCCATCTCCAAATCATTAATGAACAAGTTAAAAAGCAGTGGACCAAGTACTGATCCCTGCGGTACCCCACTGCTTACCACCCTCCACTGAGAAAATTGCCCACCTACACTCACTCTCTGTTTTCTATGAACTAGCCAGTTTTTGATCCATAAAAGGACTTGTCCTTCTATCCCATGATTTTTGAGCTTACTTAGGAGCCTTTGATGAGGAACTTTATCAAAAGCTTTCTGGAAGTCAAGGTAAATAATATCTATTGGATCCCCCTTGTCCACATGTTTGTTCACCCCCTCAAAGAACACTAACAGGTTAGTGAGACAAGATCTTCCCTTACAGAAACCGTGCTGAGTCTGCCTCAATAGGTTTTGTTCATCTATGTGCCTACTAATTCTTTCCTTAATAATGGTTTCCACCAATTTACCCGGTATCGACGTCAGACTGACTGGCCTGTAATTTCCCGGATCTCCTCTGGAACCCTTTTTAAAGATGGGAGTGACATTAGCTACCTTCCAATCCTCAGGAATGGAGGCAGATTTTAAGGAAAGATTACATATCTTTGTCAGGAGATCTACAAGTTCACATTTGAGTTCTTTCAGAACTCTCGGATGTATGCCATCTGGGCCTGGTGATTTTTCAGTTTTTAAGTTGTCTATCAGTTTTAGGACCTCCTCTCTCGTCACCTCAATCTGACTCAGGTCTTTCAACACCCCTCCTGAAATCAGTGGTTCTGGAGTGGGCAAGCACTTCTCATCTTCCACAGTGAAGACGGAGGCAAAAAATGCATTTAGCTTCTCAGCCATTTCCCTATCATCCTTCAATACTCCTTTTACCCCTTGGTCGTCCAAGGGCCCCACTGCCTCCCTGGCTGGTTTCCTGTTTCTAATGTATTTGAAGAAAGTTTTATTGTTGGTTTTTACGTTTTTTGCTATATGCTCCTCATATTCCCTTTTTGCCTGCCTGACCTCAGACTTGCATTTTATTTGCCATAGCCTGTGTTCCGTTTTATCAGCCTCACTGTGACTAGCTTTCCACTGCTTAAAGGAATTCTTTTTACTTTTTACAGCCTCCATTACTCTGTTTGTTAACCATGCAGGCTTTTTCCTATACCTGTTTGTGCCTTTCCTAACCTGCGGAATATATATTTTTTGAGCTTCTAGGATCGTAGTTTTAAATAGATCCCAAGCTTCCCCAATTGTTTTGACCCTTTCTACTTTTCCTTTCAGTTTCCTCCCCACGTGTCCCCTCATATCAGAGAAATTACCCCTTTTAAAGTTAAAAATGGTTGTGTGAGTCTTTTTGGCCAATTCTCTATTTGTACAAATGATGAACTCAACAACATTATGATCACTGTTTCCAAGCGGTGCAATCACTTTTACATCTCTCACCAGGTCTTGAGTGTTACTTAGGACCAAATCAAGGATCGCCTCTCCCCTGGTAGGTTCCGTGACCATCTGCTCCATAGCACAGTCATTTAGAGTGTCTAGAAACTCAATCTCTTTTTCCCGGCTAGAACACATACTGACCCAATCAATGTGTGGGTAGTTAAAATCACCTATTATTACACAGTGTTTTTGTCTAGTTGCTATCTTTAAGGCATTCATCATTTTATAATCCTCCTCTATCTTTTGATCTGGTGGGCGATAACAAACTCCCAGTGTTAAGTTTCCTTTTGGCCCCCCTATTTCAACCCATAGAACTTCCAGAAGCGAATCCAATTCACTTAGCCTCTCAATCTTTCTAGACTTTATACCCTCTCTGACATACAGAGCTACCCCACCTCCAACCCTTCCCCCCCTATCCTTCCGATATAATATATAACCGGGAATCACTGTGTCCCACTGATTTTCCTCATCCCACCAAGTTTCAGAAATACCCACAATGTCTATTTTTCCCTCCTCCATGAACACTATCATGTGTGCAATTCCATAGGTACCTGCTACAAAGCACATAACATTCACATACCCCTTCCATATACATACACCATTTGTACATACCTTTTAACCACTGACTGACAGTGATAGCACTGTCAGTTCCACTTTTTGCCACAGCCTTTCATATATGCCCCACAATCTTGTATGCCAAGACTAGGGATGTGCACCTCAGAAAAAAAAATAGTATTTTCTGGATCCAGATATAAGGTTCCAAATACCAATTTAGTATTTAGTTCAGAGTCTTTTTTGGGATCCCGATATTATTCAGCTCCATGCTTTCTCCAGGGCAAAGAATAGCCAGAGACACAAGAGCAAGCAAAGCAACTCCTGGCAAAAGCATGGGACAATGCGGCAAACTTACTCAACAAATGTACAACCCAAGATTCCAACCCAATGCCAAACCAGAGAATCACCAAAGCTAAACCAAATATATCACTGTGGAAGCCCAACAAATATAAAATGAGAGAATCTGCACCAATGCACAAACAGAAAATCAAAGGCAATGTCAAACCCGAGAAACCACTACAAACAGAAAACCCAAAACTATGTTGATAGACCAACCAAAGCCATTAAAAATGACAGAATCAAAGCAAAATCAACATGGCAACCTGATACCAAGCCCAGGTAGACACAGACACATGGGGGGAGGGGAGTTCCGCGAGGCTTCAAACACTGGCTCCCAATATTCACAGTTAATCCTGAATATTTCTGGGATTTTCCAGGCCCATTTCCCAGTATCCTGGAAAATTCCAGATACCATCCAGACACCCAAATATATCTGGAAACTACTGATATGGTATTTTCAGATATATGTTTGGACTGGATATATCCAAATGCATATTCCTAATGTCCACAACATTCCTTAACTGTTCAGCAGTGGAACCAATGGCTAGGGGAGTATCATTTCAATCAACCTGAATCCTGGACTCTCACCAACAACAGCAACTCTACTGGCCCCACATAAAGTCAACCATACTTGTATATGATCGTTCAGTTTGGAAAGATCACAAACCATTTCATACAAAGAAACAAGTATTTAAACTTCTCATGATGAACTTTAAAAATTGGCAGCCATTAATGGAGTATTTCAACAGTGTTGCTAGCTAAGTGCTGGCACACACAAACCCCTAAGGAAATGAGGAAGGAGGGATAAATTCTGAATGTTTTACCATAGAGTTTTATCCGAACCCTAGAATGTCACCCTAATGTGGTGACATCATTTCCAGATTCACAGTGGAAGTTATGTCATGGTACTGCTGTGATGAGGATTTTCCACCCCCATTTTGCTCCCGATGCTCTATGGAGACCTGTGTGAGACCTGGCACTGCTATATTTGAACAATATATAATACAACTGCATTCAATCACACCTGTTGTGGTTGTCTTCTCTTGAACTGCCAGCCCTAGAAGTGCTCCCAGTGCCTTGGTCATTTGGGTGCTAAGCAAAGTGGGCTTGTGGGCTATTGTCAGCATGGGTGCCAGGAGTAGCCTACTCCACTGTACTAAACAGACAAATAAAATACACTCATAGCAAGTTATTATATGAAGCATGCCAAATCTACTGGCCTGTTTTGGTGTCTTGCTAGTCTTGGGTTGCTTTCCCCGTAGTTCTCTCCCCTGGCCAGAGCTAGGTGGAGGTGCATCCCCACCCAGCATCCCTTGGCAGTTTTTGCAGATTAGCAAAAAAGTATGCACCATGTCACTCTAAGGAGTTTGAGAAACAATTAAAACCTAAAAGCCAGATTCTCTGAAATCCAAAAATACCACTGCGCTTAATGTTACAAAACCCAAAAATATTTTTAAGAACATTCCTCCTAGCAGAGCAAAGGGAGTGAGGGCGAGGAGAGTAAGCAGTGCTGAAGCAACCAGTTGGTGTAAATTATCTATGTAAAAAAAAAAATCTGAGTTTTATGAGCCACTCTGTTATTTTCTTGCCTAGTGTATATTGGTGGAGGGGGAGAAGTATATTCAAATAACTGACTCAACATGTAGAGCAAATGAAGGAATGTTATTGGCATGTGATCTTAAGCACAAAAAAAAGGGTAGGAACCACAAGAATGAAACTCCAAAAGGGAACGAACAAACCCAAAGCCTCTGTTCCAGTGGCAAAAGCTCTGCATTGTTACATATTAAAAGTTTCAATTACA